AACTTAGTGAAACCCTGTCTCAAAATCAAAAATTAAAAGAGGGCTGGGGTTGTGGCTCAGCGTTAGAGTGCTCGTATAGCACATTCGAGGCGCTGGGTTCGATCCTCAGCACCACATTAAATAAATAAATAAATAAACAAAATAGATTGTATCCAACTACAACTAAAAAATATATATTTAAAAAAATTAAAAGAGCTGGTTATGTGGCTCAATGGTAAAGTGCCCCTGAGGTTAATCCCCAGTACCCCTCTGTATTTTTTTTTTAATTTACCCTTAGGAGACATGAGAAGGCATTTGTGATTTATAAAGCAATGAATATGTATATTTTTATCTAAAAATCCTGGGTCCATTGCTTGCTAGTGCTCCAAGAAAAGAAGATGGTGCCTACAGGAGCTCTGGGCAGAGAACTAACAACTGCAGGAGTGCCTCTGGGGCAGCATAATCTCATCCAGTCTTCTGATGATTGGAACTTACAAAGTCATCCTCCACAAACACTCGTGAACCACCCACTGGCCTCTGCTACTTTGATTTTTCTGCAGTAACTTTAATCTGACTCTTGAAGCTGACCTTGACCTTCCCACTCTCTCTGGCTACTGTGGTTTGGATCTGGAAGGTCTCCAGCAAAACTCACGTGTCAGGAACGCAGTAAGGTCAGAGGTAAGTGAGCAGATCAGGAAGGCTGGGATCGCCTCAGAGGACTAACCCACGTGATGCGCATGATCTGACTGGACCACTGAGCGGGAACAGTAGGCAGGTGGGGCACGGCTGCAGGAATTAGGTCACTGGGAGTGGCCTTGGGGACTGTATCTGTCCCTGGCCTATATCTTCTCTCTCCCCCACTCCTCTTCCTCTCTCTTCTTTCTCTTCTCTACTCCTGTCCCCCACCCCCGCCTTCCAGGCTGCCATGACCTGAGAAGCTTTCCTCTTCCCTCCACCATGCCCTTCTGCCATGATGCTCTGCCTCACCTCAGGCCCAGAGCACTGGAGTCAGCTGACCATTGACTGAGATCTCTGAAACCATGAGCTCAAAGTCATCTTCTCCCCCTCTAAGTTTTTCTTATCAGGTGCATGGGCCACAGTGATGCAAAGCTGATGAACACTTGGCCAGGTGCTGCATGGGCCCACATCAGCCTCCCCAGAATGCTGGTTTAGCATCCTCGTAGGACCAGCTCCCACCAGTCTCAGGCACTGGTCTTACACACTGTTGTCATGGTTACCTTCACAGTGTTAATCACAAGCCTTCTTCAAAAACCATCAAGACAGCTCCCTATGCCCACTCTGCCTCTTCCTCCCCAGGGCTCCTCCTCAACTGTATGCACCCTTCTCAAGCCAGCCTGGCTGGTGACCGCATCCCTTATCTATCAATCTGTCCATTTTCTGTTGCTGTTTAAGAAACCTTATGGCTGGATGACTTATATAGAAAGATGTCTGTGCAGCTCCCAGTTTTGGAGGCTGAAACTCCAAGTGGCATGGTGCCAGCTCTGGCAAGGACCCCTCATTATGTCACATCATGGTGGATGGCATCACCATGGGAACACAAGCTAGAGGGCAAGACCACATGGTAAGGCAGGAAACCAGAGAGCAGGGAGGAACCAGTCTCACTCCTTTTAAAAAAAAACCCTCTCGTGACTAACCAGAGTCCCATGAGAACTATATTAATTCCTGCCAAGGGCAGCACCCCCCAGTGACCTAATAACTTCCCACTAGGACTCACCCCTTAAAGGTCCCATCACTCCCACATCACCATGCCAGGACAAAGCTTCTAACACACAACCCTCAGGACAAACCACATACAAACCATGCACAATTCCGACAGGCAAAGTGTCGGGGGCCGTCATGCTGAGTGACCAGCATTTTCCTTCCCGTGATCGGTAGAGGCTCTGTTGGTCACTTTCGTAGTGATCTGGCCACATTCATAGTGGCCCTAGACGGCTGCCCCGATCCTCAAAGTAGCAGAATGTGTCTTCATGCATAGGCGCGCCTTCCTGCATCCCCATGGATCGAGCTACGCTCACCTGCTCCTTTGTGATATTACCCACTTGCCCTATTTGGGATAGAATGTTCCATGGAAACTCCCTTTGTGTGTCCCCTTCTCTTACTCTGCCCTTGGGTGTGGCCTTCCTAGATGTCAGTCCAACCTGCTAACAGCAGACATCATGAAGTGTGGAGAGCCATTCTCACACGTGACTGGGCGACTCCCGGTTTGGGTCTGAGGCGTTCTGGCTGTGTCGGAACTTTCCCGGCCCTCTCCTAATGAGAGAACCCGTCCGTGTGGGGGTGTGACTGACCACTGACCCCGGGGGCCCAATCACTGACCCTGACCTTGGAGTGCGGCCCCCCCTCAACCTTCATTGGATGGAATTTACCCTGAATTTCTTGTTCCCCAATAAAAGGCTACTCCCTGGCGTGCTCGCTCTCTCTCTCTCCTGCTTGCCCTGAGTAATCCTTGCTGCCCTATGGGTGGTTCGAGGTTGGAGCCAGAGAGGGGAGCCGTCTCGGACCTGGTCATAGAAAAAGGTAACCGAGTCTGTGTGTTTTATTTCGATCTCTGCTAGCTAACTTTTATGCCAAGAACCTCATTAATGAAACCAATGTGCAGGCTGCATGGTGGAATGAAGCTAGACTCAGCCCCCCGAATCCTCACCCCTTGCCTCATTTGAATGGCTTCTCTTCAATAAAAGGGGTCAGCACACACTCCCTCTCTTTTTCTACAGACCCTTAAGGTCAGAGGAGCTTTAGAGGACCCCAAAGAAAAAGGTACCTCTGTCTCTGTGTGGTTATTTTGTGCAGCCCAGTTCCCCTGAAGTGACCCTGAGTGTTTTAGTCGCGAGGAATGCAACAGGCAAAGTCTTTATTTGTTCTTGAGTCTTACATCTCTAGAAAGATGTCTAACTGGGGCTGGATGTGTCCTCCTGGTGGTGGTGTGGGAAGTGGGGCCTCCAGTTACCACAGAGAAGGTGATGTGGGTCTTCCAATTCCAGTTACAGGTTCCCCAAGTGAAAGCTGTGGCTGTCACCTTCAGGTTTTGTTTATTTTTGGGTACTGGGGACTGAACTCAGGGGCACTCGACCACTGAGCCCCATCCCCAGCCCTATTTTGTATTTTATTTAGAGACAAGGTCTCACTGAGTTGCTTAGCACCTCGCTATTGCTGAGGTTGGCTTTGAACTCGTGATTGAAAGGAAAGTGACCACAACACTCAGAGCGACCAAGAGATCTTTTTGCAGCAGTGCAACAGAGGAGAAAAGAGAGAGAGAGAGAGAGAGAGAGAGGAGAGCATGCGCGCAAGGGAGACAGATCAAGAGAGAGAGACAGAGCAAGAGAGCAAGAGAGAGAGAGGGGCCCAGCAGGAGGGAGTTTTTATAGCCCAAATCTAACGGGGCCTCTGGATCTGCAAGCTGCCTTGTTGGCACAAGGGGGGTTGAGTGTTGAGCCTTGAGTGGGGGTTGAATGTTCAGCTTTGACGCAAACAGGTGATAAAGGACCAGACAGAGGGGGGTTTGAGTGCGTGGGCCATCCTGCAGCTAACATTTGTTCAGCCTGCCCTGCAGATAACATAGTTTAGCCTGTTCTGCACCTAACAGTGATCCTCCTGCCTCAGCTTCCCAGCCGCTGGGATTAAAGGCCTGAGTCACCACACCCAGCTTATCACCTTCAGTTTTGTTATTCACTGGTCAAATGAGCACACCACACATAGACAAGCAGGAACTGTCCCTGGAGACAGCGGAATTAGTCTGGTTTTGAGAAAGAGTCAATCCTTGTGTTAGCATGTTTTACTTTGTTTTCTTCTTAAGAACAAAGGACTGTTTTCTGATGGTGACCCTAAGTTTGTTCTCTTTGCCTTCCAGGATGGCCACTATTGCATTTACTCTAATCCAGATTCTGCTTGGATGCAGGTCTGGGTCTAGGGACGTCTGTTTGCCAGTATATCTTGCCACGGGCAAAACAAATCTCCAGCTTTGTCAGGGATCCCTTTTCAATTGAATTGTTGGTGGAAGGGCCTCTTCCCCCGTGGAAGTTGGAGGTGTGACAACATTCATCTTCCGTGAAATATTTATGGGGCACTGGACATGGAGTAGGGGAGATGAGGCAGGAGACCACTACTCAATGAAACATGAAGGAAGCTGATAACTAATAACACCTACTCCACAACTAAACTATGCCCAATGGGTGGTGGGATGTTTGCACTAATAAATTTTGAGGTAAACTAAAGCATCAATTTCCAATCTAATTCTGGTGTTAGCATTGTCTTGGGCCAAAAGCAGGCCTGTTCGTGCAGGGTGGACGATGACTGGTGACCACCTTGATGGTGTCTGATCAGTTGTAGCTATGGAAGGAGACCGGGCACGTGGTATGGACCCAGAGATATGGTGCTGAGGAGCTTTAAAACCCACAAAACGTTCGACCTGGTGATGTGAACCTGTAATCCCAGCAACTCCGGAGGCTGAAGCAGGAGGATCACAAGTTCAAAGCCAGCCTCCGCAATTTAGCCAGGCCTTAAGCAACTTAGATAGCCTCTGTCTCAAAATTTAAAATAAAAGGGCTAGGGATGTGGCTCATTGGTTAAGCCCGGCTGTGTTCAATCCCAGTGCCAAATAAATGAGTCCCACAAAACACAAAGGACTTTCAAATAGGACCATTAATGCTACTAAGGGCAGAACTGATGAGGCTGTGCACCTGGGAAAGTTTTCAGATTTAAGACAGGAAATTGGCAACGTAGTGAGTTAAAGGGGAAAGCCAGATCCGTTCTCCGCATACAGCGAGAAGAGGGGTGCAACTCCCCCAAAACACTTCGGATCTTCACCGGGCCCCAACAGCTGCGCGAAGGGCACCTTGCACCGCGGGAGCCTGCTCACCCGATCCTACCGGGTCCACGTCTGCCTGGGGAGGGCCGCTTTGCGCTGAGGCCTGCGATTGGTAGACTCTGGCCGGGGGTGTGGCCTAGCCGGCGGCTGGAGATGCGCGCGCAGGCCCTCGCCCCTCGCCCCGCTCCTCCTGCCCTGGGATTGGCGAGCTCGGGATCAGGGGCGGTTTGGGGGCGGCGGGGGCGCGCGCGGGGCGTGTCTCCCGTGCGACCTCGGCCTGCGCGTCTCCGCCATGGCTGCTTCGCTGGTGCTGCGGCGAGGACGAGCTGGGCCGCTGAAGGTACGGAGGAGTTCGCCGCTGCGCGGCCCGGAGCGCGCAGGGACCCGGCGAGGGCGCGCGCCGGCCGCACCTGCGGACCCCTCGTGCCGGGCGGTCTGGGCTCCGACGCCGCCCGGGCGAGGTGGCCCCCTGCGCGGCGCCGCCCCGGCCGGGCCGGGTCACCTGGGGAGCTGCGGGCAGGTGTGCATCTCCCCGGGCGTCCCCGCTGCGCTCCGGCGTGGAGAACCGCTGTCCGACGGTGACTTGTGCCACCCGCGCGGCTCCCGTAAGGACAGTGCCCATATTTAGCCGAAAACCAACCAACCACGGGATCTTCTGGGCTGTTCGGTTGCACCCGAGGTTAAGTGAAATGGGGGCACTGGCTGACCCGGTAACTACCTGGTGTCCACTGAGGAGTCGCCTCTCCCGGCCGTGAAAGAAGGGCTCGCCTTCTCTGTGAAAAGCTAAGGCCGCTAGTTTAATTTTAAAATGGATCTTATTATGAAAGCGGTATTTGCCTTTCCCCCTCTTGGAGCTGGGATTGAACCCAGGCCTCAAGCGTGCGTTCCCTGTCACTGCGCCACACGCCCAGTCCCCAGAAGCAGTAAGTAGTCACTGCTAAGTAAAGTACAGGTGAGGGAGGAAACCATCGTCGTGTCCACTGTTTATTTACTCCTTTAAGTTCCCAACGTTTTTTTCAGTTTTTGCGTGTGCATATACTTTCCCTGCTTACAGTCAGGAGAACAGATGTTTTCACGTCTTGTTCTATGGCCAGCATCTAGAGCATCGACTGTTTAGTATGCAGGCCTTATTGATTACCTGCTGAGTGAATTCACATGGTATTTTTCATTTCCATTGTAAGTACTTATGAAGCAATTATTTATGTGCATCATTTTAAATTGCAGATTGTATTTTTGTTTCTAAGTATATGAAAACAGTTTATAAAAAGAACAAAATGTATTTTGAAAGTTAACAGAGTCGGAGATGACAAGAGTGTACACAGGAGGACATCCTTCATTATTAACTCAGATGCTAAGTGATTGTCCTTGAACCTGGGCATTTTCTTGTTGCAACTTTTTTGTATTTTCTAACGTTTCCATGATATACATTTATTATGGAAATTGGAATGACCTCTAGTTACTTGAACATTCATGTGTAGTAGTAATATGTAGTATTTATATGTTGTAATAACTGTTATAAATGATAATACTCTAAATATCCATATTTATTAACTCTCTTGTCAGACTATGCTCCTAGAAGCACGAGTATTTCGAGGATTTGCCTCTACAGCTTCTCTCTGTGCGGAATCAGGGAAGAATGAAAAGGGACATTCACTAAATCCCAAGAAGCAAAGTCCACCAAAAAGTAAGATTTTTAATGATAATCATAAGGGACAGAGAATGCCAAGTAAATACCTAGTCAGCCTTCCATGCATGCAAATGAGGTTTATTAGCTACATGACTTATGGCTCTTCATCCTTGCCATGTCCAGATGTTAGTCAGATATGAGGTCTGTGACAGATAGACCAAACACATGAGAAACGGTGCTTTGACTCACATCAACCCTGAACTGGTCTTTTTGTTTTCTAAACACCCACCTCCAACAAGTGGTACCAAGCATTAGTCCTCTGATGCACTTCTATGGCCTCACCATGGACCTCACTAGTGTGAGGTAGAGCGACTACACCCTCGTTTTCCTCCCCAATTTTGATGGACCTTTTTTTTTTTTTTTCAATTTATGTATATGCAGTGCTAAGAATCGAACCCAGTGCCTCACACATGCTAAGCAAGCACTCTACCACTGAGCTGCAACTCCAGCCCCTTTCCTCCCCAATTTTGACTTTCTTCTCTCTCTTTGAAACCCTGTGCTGGTTCCCCAGTTTGCTCCGTCACAGACCAGGATTGTGGGTATCATTTTAGGACTGTGGAGAAGGAATTAATAAGAGCAGGTAGTTTTCCACTGTGACTCATTCTGCTAAGGCACAATGTCTGACCTGTTTCCAGCTCTTTACACAATCCTTTTGACTTTTACCACTAGTTTTTAATTTTTTTCTCCTCCCTGAGTACTAATGTAACATGTCCTCATTGGAGAGCAAAAAGAAATGCAGCAGTGAATTTTAAATGCTTCTCTTCTGGGATTACTTTTATTTTCTATTCTCTACTCTCCCCCCCCCCCCCCTTTTCCTTTCTGCAGTGCTGGAGTTGGAACCCAGGGCCTCGTGGATGCTTGGCAGGCACTCTTCCACTGAGCTATATTCCCAGCCCCTTGTTCATCATTGAAGATTGATTATGATCTAGGTCCACTTAATTTAGCTTTTATTGATGAAAACTTAGTTTACTCTAGAAAGACTATGCAGTATTACTCTCTTTGCAGGTCTTTGATCCTCATATGGGGTTGTAGGATGATAATTGAATTTGGTCTTCCTTTACCAAAATACCATTTCTTCAGTTTGAGTGTCTGAAAATGTCTAGATTCTTTTGCTTGTGGTCTCTTGACCTGCTCATAGAACATTGGTGGGTTTTAAAAGTTTGCACCTGTAGAGAGTGCCAGCCCCACTTTCACACTGCCCACCTGGGCCGGGGAGCCTCACCATCTTGGTAGTTTCTGCATGTCCTGTTGACCTGAGGCCTGTATTGCACAGGAACTTTTTTAAATTCTATCCTATACCAGCCTCATTTTTAAATCTGATGTTCTTTTCCATCTGAATGCATTTTTAAAAATGTATGTGTTAAACATAAGAACTCTTCTTTTAGTAAAAATAATCTCAATACCAGTACCACGCCTAAAAAATGTTTGTGACAAGTATGTCAGTTATGACACATGCCTGTAATCCCAGCAATTTAAGAGGTTGAGGAAAGAGGACCTCAAGTTCAAGGCCAGCCTGATCAACTTAGTGAGACTCTGTCTCAAGATAAAAAATTAAAAAGGGATAGGGATGCAGTTCAGAGGTGTAGTGCTCCTGGCTTCAATTCTCAGTACTTAAAAAAAGAAAGTTACATTCTGTATTACACTTTTTGTTTGTGCAAACCCAGGGCCTCGTGCAAACCCAGGGCCTCGTGCAACCTGGCACATTTTTTACTTATGTCAGTACCATCATCCTTTCCTTTGGTGAATTTTAACCTTGTGTCAGTAATCCTACCTTAGTTCAGATTTATGAATCTGAACTAAGTGAATTTGAAAATATCATGGCAGAGCCCAGAGCCTCCTATTTAGAAATGTGCTTCCACATTGTCAGTGGGAACCGTGTGCTCTGTCCTGGGACAGTTGGGGTGCCATCATGGGATGGGAATGCTGAGCTGGGAGTTGGCCTTGGGCCCCTGTGGAGCTTTTGTCGCTAGCTGTGGCATCCTTGCCGGTGTCTGGGCCTGGGTCCTTCCGGCTTGAGTGTCCAGTGTGCTCCCTCCCTGGGTGTTAGGCTCATGGGCATGTGATAACTGTGTACTTCATAAATGACAGGGGGCTTTTGGGTGGGAAGACAGCTTTCAATTGTTTGGGGTGCATTTACATTACATTTACATCTCATAAAGCAATCTCTGTACAAAGAAAAAAGAAAGAATGCTTCTAAACTGACGCACGGAGCCTGCATTTCCCATGAAGTGTCAGTGGTAGGAAAGTGTAAGGTTCAGACATTCTCTTCCCCACCATGGTACATTGCCATCTTAAACCCTCCTACCCCAAGCTGGCTTTAGAAGTTCTGGTGGAAGTTTTCTGCGTGCAGATGGGGACCCTAAGTACTCACCCTGGGGTCACATCTCTAGCCAAAGGGTCTGGCTGGGCTTGCCTCAGGCTACAGAAGTTGCTCTGCCTTGTTCTGGAAGTTTCTAGCTTCTTTTTGCACATACTTCCTGAGGGAAGCAGTAGGTGAGTGTCAGTCCAGGGTATCCTCCCAGGGCCCCTCTTGGGGAATGTCTGGCTCTGCGGGTTTGTCATCTGCTGGATCCTTTCACCAAGCTGAACTTTGAGTCAGTATAAACAGTTGGCTGGGTAATTTCCGTGTGGCTTTTTAAAGAGTATGATGAGAAACCAAAGTTGATTGGCCTTTCCAAGTCCTATCTCAGGTTTAAAAGTGAGGATATTTGGAAATAGAGATTTGATGTATTTATTTTATAGCCATAATACCAAGTGCTCTTCTGAGCACTTTCCCCTTATTATCTGTGTGTCCACAGACAAGCCTGTGTGTGGATGCTGCTGTCACCCTGTGTCACCAGTGCGGCTGAGATGTCAGAGACAGCGGCAGGGAGTCTAGGATTGCCCCCAGGCATTGTGATTCATAGTCTATATCTTATTCACTGTACTATATTGCTGCTGAAAAATCTCCATTCTCATGCGTTTGTTAAAAGACAAACTTTTTATGTCAAACACCATATAATTACCCTATAAAACCTAAGTAACTTCAGCCTTCTATGTCATGTTTAGATGACCTTTGCTTCTGAATGTGCTTTGTATGCTGAATTAGTTTTGTGATCTGTTGAAAAGATTTGGAAGTGTTTTAAGGTGACTAATCTGTTTGAAATACTATAGTCATCCTTGCTTTTGCTAAAAACCTGAAGGTCATGCCCTCACTTTCCAACCAAGTCAAAGAGAGAATCAAGAAGCTTAAGTTCTGTTTTGAGAAGAGAAGTGTGAGGAGAACTGCTCACTGGTGACCACAGACCTTTATCTCATGCGGCTTCGTGGTCTTGAGAGGCAGGAAGTGCCCACAGGTGCCCGAGTGAGCTATGAGATGGACCTGCCCCGTGAGGCTTATTTAGCAGCCAAGCATTCTGTTACTTTGTCTTCGAGGAAAGCCACTGTCGCATTGTCAGAGGTTATCACAGTCTGTCTCTGGACATTGAATGAGAGCAAGCACTGGGGTGAAGTACTTCTGTTCAGAGCAAAGACCACTTTTCCTTGATGTGATAGAACTGTCTTCTAGGCGACATCAGCTCTGTACTGTGAAACTCAGACCTGGTGGGGACCCTGGGCTTGCTAGTTAGTGATGCAGGCAGCTACAGATCAGCAGACAGGTTTCCTATTGAGCCATGCAGAGGAGGCTGGCCTTGTGCTGTGGCAGGGCAGAAACTGGCTCTTGGTAAAAAGCAAAATCTGTTCCTGTCCTCTGTTAGCCTTTCCCTGGGGTGTTCTCAATAGTTAGCACAGACAAAAGAAACTTGAATGCCTTTTGTTTCTTATAATGAAATTTCCTTTTTTTGTCTTTGGGTTTTTTTTTGTTTTGTTTTTTTTTTTGTTTTGTTTTGCAGTGCCAGGGATTAAACCCAGGGCCTCAGGCATACTAGGTGATCACTCTACCACTGAGCTACATCCAAGCCCTTAAGGTTTCCTTTTCAAATAAAATATCTAAGTTGTATCATTGTCAGTCCCATCTGAAATGTTCTTTCCATTTTCTGTAGGTAATAAATCAATTTATAATGTAGGTTGGGTTGTTTTTGCTTTGTTTTGTTTTTTCTGCTAAGGACTGAGCCTAGGACCTTGTGCTAGGCTGGCACTCTTATCACTGAGCACTACTCTCAGCCCCAGTGGAACCCAAGTTTTGGGATGAAACTTAATTCCCCCCTTCTGCTGGCAGGTGACGCTGGCAGGTGGGGTTTGGGTAAGGCTGCGGTCCTCTGCAGCTCTCATTGGCCGGCCCCGCCCTCCAGTGTTGCAGCGACCCCAGCAGTGCACCGTCAATTTCTTCTTTCTGGGTTTTTATCTTGTGAATTCAAAGAATGAAATCCATAGGCCAAGATGAGTGAGTGTAAGAGCAGCATTTTTAGAGAATAGAAACAGGAACAGAACTCTTGCAGTGTCACCATTAGTCTGGTTTAATAACATTACAATTTTTAATATATGCAAGGGATAGGGAAATAGCTCAGTGGTAGAGTACTTTCCTAGCGTACACAAGGCCCTGAGTTCAAACCTCAGCACCTCGCATACGCACAAAGATCTCGGAAGATTTTGAAAGATTCGATCCTTACCATCTTTCTATTCAAAACAGCCCATGTAAGATAGCCTTATTTTTAATTTAATTTTTCATACTTGGAAAATTCATTCAAGTCAAAATAGAGATGAATCAGTAATCCAGGTGAGTGGCTGGCAGGGTTTGAAGTCCAGAGCATCTTAGACACAGCTGTTAGGAATTTCTGAGCTGGGCAGCTGGGTTCAGAGACACAGCAGAAGCCAGTGTGCACTACCCCTTTGCTCACCTTCCGTTCAGCGTGACCTGCAGCTGTGTGTGCACTCTGAAAGTCCCCTGCACCTGCATCAACACCTGCTGGGGTGGGGTTCCAAGTGCAGGGTCTGAGTCCGAGGTCCCTACGTGGCTTGGTGGGCATGATGGTGGTGGTGGGCTGGGGTGATTACAACAGTCACCCACACTAGTCCTCGGGTCGTCTTTCCTCACAGTGCTGTCCCCCTCTGGCTGGCCCACGTCCAGTGGCTTGTTCTTTTTTCATTTTTGTTTGTTTGTTTTTAATATTTACCTTTTAGTTGTAGTTGGACACAATACCTTTATTTTATTTACTTATTTTTATGTGGTGCTGAGGATCGAACCCAGGGCCTCGCATGGGCTAGGAGAGCGCTCTACCACTGAGCCCCAGCCCCAGCCCCAGCCCTCTTTCTTTTCTTTGATCTCACCATATCAGTCTGTTAGTCATTGGTTCCTGAGCTCAGAAAACCCTGCTGGGTACTGCTAAGCCAGAGTGGTTGGGAGGACGGGTTTTACCCTAGAGAAGTAGGATAGAGCTGTTTTCAGTACAAAATAGGTGCCTGGCCTCCAGGACTCTGGATATAAGTCTGCTCACCTGTAATAGTTTTCAAAGTTTTGTTTTAAGTTTGAAAGGTAATTTTAAGAATGTGTCTTATACTTTTCTTCTGATTTATGTGGTTAGAAAACATTTATTACTAGCTGACAAAATTAAATTAAATTAGCTCTAATTGATATATTACTTGATTTCATTTTTTCATCAATGACCATGAAATATAAGACTACTTTTATTATATTAGTACTTATCTTTTTTATCTTTTTTTTTTTTTAGAATTTAAAATCCATTCCAAGTGATACCTATGATATTACATTATTTAGACCTTTTCAGTATCATAGTACTTTTTTTTTTTTTTTTTTTTTGGCTCAAGAAATCCCCAAATGACCTGTGTGACTGTGAAGGACTTTTCTTCCTTTTCAGGGCAGTTTTACTTGAACTGTACCATCCTCTCCCACCACCCCCACTCTCACACACATGCATGTGGGAACCCCAGTCCCTGCCGGGCTCCTGTATGTACCTTCACTGTTTGGTTGTGGTTTTTTTTTTGTTGTTGTTGTTGTTGTTTTGTCTTTTGTGTGTGTGTGTGTGTGTGTGTGTGTGTGGTGGTGGTGGTAGGGGTTAAACCCAGGGCCTTGTGCATGCGAGGCCAGCTGAGCCAGATCCCCGGCCCTACTTTCACAGTTTGGTTTTTTTGTTTTTTAATATTGGAGAAACATCAAATATTTGCTTGATTATAGGGATTCAAGGAATTATGTAATTATAAAACTTCAGTAGTCATCTAAAAATATCTTTATTGGATGAAATAGTTTAAAAATAACCATAACCAGAGAAGCCATCAGTGTAGAAAATGCATGCAGTTTGTTATTCCTGTTGGTTTAAAAAAAAAGAAATCTCCATCTTTAATGTTTTCAGCAGGAGAGGGAAGTATCTCCAGTTCTTAGCTGCCAAGCACACAGCTTGGTTGTGTCACTGGAGAGCCTTTCCGGGGGACTTGTCTTCAGTTGGTCACACTGAAGGTGTTATAAGTAATGGGTTGATATGCAGTGAAATGTCGATGACTTTGACTAATGAGTTTAAGTTGTTTCATTAAATAGTAAAAATAACCTTCCTCTTTATGCCGTTTCCTAGATGTAGTGGAACCAAAGGAGAGGGTCAAGCCACTAACCCCCCAGACAGCAGCTGCGCCGCCTGACAGCCTGTCTCCACCCCGTTCTCCCCTGCCATGTGGGAGCAGAGGCGGGACACTAGCTAGCCCCCACCCCAGTGGCAGCATGCTGCTCTCAGAGGAAGGGCCCCTGCAGCGGTTTTCGAGGAAGACTTTGGTAGAATTTCCTCAAAAGGTCCTGCCTCCATTCCAAGAACAGGGTTCTGACTCCAAGGTTCACCAGGTTCCTGGGAACCAGAGGGATGATTCGTCGTCGTCCTCCTCCTCCTCCTCCACATCCAGCTCCTCCGATTCAGAGTCTGACGAGGAGGGGGATGTCCCAGAAGTTGGTCCCCAAGGGGTGAGCAAAGGCAAGGGACGATTTTCAAAGCCAGAGGCCACCCGCCCCTTTGAGAAGAAAGACCCCAAAGCCACGGCATCTGCAAAAGAGAATACTGGGGTGCAGAGGCCACCCATGGATGTCACCTACCCAGGGCAGCCCCGTCCGCTGAAGAAGACGGGGCCCTCCACCAAGTCAGTAAAGGACAGAAAAGAAGCCAAACCAAAACCCACCACACCCAGCTCACAGGCCAGTGAAGAGATCTTGAAGAAAAATGTAAAGAAAGAAGAACTGCAGAAAATATTTAGTGCCCATGAGACAGATGAAGAAAGCCAAAAGCCATTTGATGTTCAGGACACCTTATCTGGCCACACAAAAGCTGGATCTTCGACACAGCAGAGTGGCGGCCTAGTGTTCGCAGCGCAGACAGAAGAGGCCAGGGCGCGGGATCAGCTGCCAGCTGCTGCCCCTGGGGCCCAAGGCCTAGAACCTCAGGTGCCTGGGCCTGGTTGGAAAGCCTCTTCTTCCCTAGCCAGAGAAGAAAACGTGGGGAAACAGGTAACGGAAAGACACTCAAAGGCCAAAGGGGGCATCTTGGAAGATCAGGTACCAGTGAGAGACGTGAAGAAGGCAGACGTCTCTGGAGAGAAGGCCTCAGGACCACAGCCTGAGGAGAGGGGCCAGGCCGAGGCCGCCGAAGACGCAGCGCCCTGCGGGGAAGCCCAGGGCCACACACAGGGTACACCTCGCCTTGTTAGACTCTTATCCTTTGGGGTGGCTAGACTCTAACACACTATTCTGAATTTCTGCTTGCTTAGAAAGAAATATTATGTTAATCAGCGTCTAGTAGAAACTAGGCCTGCAATGCTGTCCAGCTAGGCAGAGAAGTACATATTGATTACAGATAATGCACATCTTTATACAAAATCCTAAAATATTTTACTTTTTCTGATATCAGCATTTTAAAAATTTTTTATTGGTGCATTATAATTATACTTAACAGTGGGATTCATTGTTACATATTTGTACATGCACACAATATAACAATATCTATTTTTTTTAATGAAAGAGTGTGCCCTTGGCACTCTGGACAACCTCTTAATCAGCATAATTTTTGCAGACTGTCAGTTTAGAATGGCCACCCTTAACCTTCCAGGGCATCCAGATGTCTATTTTGTGACCTTGTGAGCATCCTTGGTCTCCCATCTAGCTTGAGTAGGCAGGAGTGAGAGTCATAAGGGAGTGATAGTCTTCAAGTGAACTAAGCCAGGGGATTGCCCTGAGCACCCTCGGGCATGAGGGAAGGTTCGCAGGTAGGGACTGAAGCAGTGAGTGTCACGCGAAGGCAGCTGGGGACTGCAGGGTTTTCTTTTCACAGGACATTTCCTTTTCTGATTTACCTAAGAAACACAACAGGCTTCCTGAGGAAAGCAGTGCATCCCTTAAATGTTACATTCTGTGAGCATCAGACCTTGTAGGATATGATGTGCTATGGGGGTGCGGCCAGATGTTAGCAGGAGGGCCTCAGTTTTGGGATCTGTGGTTCAGAGGTTCTTTAAAACAGAGCATCGCTAGCAACGCCTTCTCCTTCCTGTTTCTGTTTCATCCTTCTGGAAGCCTCCCTGCCTCACGTGCATCGCCTGGTGTGCTCCTGATGCGGTCTCAGGATGAGTCTCTGCTTCCCTTTCCACCAGCCCTCTTACGTGAGCTCTAGCGCCCCACTTGCCAGGCTTCTCCCGACCTCAGGCCCTGCCTCTCCTCGCGCTCCTGCTTTCATTCCTCCCCTCTCAGATGGAGGTGCCAAAACCCTCAGGGTGAAAATAGGACGTTGGGATTTTCAGACTGCAAACCAACTTGCCAACCTGGGGTGTAGCTCAGTGGCAGAGTGCCTGCCTGGCACAAGCCAGGCCCTGGGTTCATCTCTAGCAGTGGGGTGGGGGGAATCTCTTTGCCCTCAGACGCAACTATAACCCAATATCACTGTGGTCATCCCCTTGCGTTAGCCAAAGGTGTGTGTACAGCACACTGAAGGGCTTCAGCTTGCTGAGGTTGGAAGGATGTCAGTTCTTTAAGACTTTTTTTTTTTGTTTGTTTAGTTCAGCAAAATTGTGAGAAACAGAGCTTTTGGCATTGATTAGAATAGTAAAAAGTTTGTGTGCATTATGTTTGGTGAAGCACAAATAGAAGTTGAGATGGCCCAACCTCTGATTCCCAGGAATTTTAGAGTCCATGGAAGTTCCAGCCCAAACCTTGCCTGCAAGGTTTATCCTGTCCTGTTGCATGTTGTGTGGCAGAGGAGCAGTGTTCTTGTGCTTCAGCCAACACTTCCAGTTTTAAGGTCACCAAATGCCAGAATTCTCCTAATCTTCTAACAGAGACTGGAAGGCTCACTTAGTTCTGCTTAGGGAAGTGCTACAAATCATTTATTTCTAGTACAGACAGATTTCTGATAGAGGTAGTGTTCTTTCCCATGCATCTTCATGCAAACTGAAAGTCCTTCTGTAATGGTTCTAGGCATTTTTAAACTTAAAATCTGGGGCCTGGAAGTACACAGAGTGAGATGTTAAGTCGTTATTATTTTATTACCAGGACAGAGCAGCGTGGTCCCCTCCTCTAGTGGGCTTGTGATGTAAACCTGGGGCAGTTTTCAATGGTGAGGTCAGGGAGAGGTGAACATTTTATATGGCCCAGTGACAGCTTTGTCCCCAGGTGGTCGTGTAATAATTATCACTCCTGAATTGTTAGGGCCACAGTTTTAGAATAACTTTTCAGCTAACATCCTTGTCTTGCTTTTGAAGGTGTGGTGCCTCCGTGGGCTTTCCTTTCTAAGTAGACAGTTCCTTCATCACAGGTAGGATTAGTGGAAGCTGCTGGGATGAGTCTCCGAAAGCCCCTCTTGTCCTGTGCTTCCTCCGCAGAGCCCGCCCAGGCTCCAGTGCCCCCCGAGCTGAATGACACCACCACCTACAAGAACCTGCAGCATCACGACTACAACACGTACACATTCCTAGACCTGAACCGGGACCTCTCCCAGTTCAGGATGCCTCAGCCCTCTTCTGGACGTGAGTCCCCTCGGCACTGAGCCCTCTTCTGGACGTGAGTCCCCCCGGCACTGAGCCCTCTTCTGGACGTGAGTCCCCTCGGCACTGAGCCCTCTTCTGGAGTGACCCGGCCTCGTCTTGGCTGCAAAAATAAAAAATCACTTGAGTCACAAACCCAGAGTGTGTCCTTGGTTCCCTTTTACACTCCCCAGTGAATGGTACACAGACAACACTGCTGGTGACTCATTCCCTCGTAGGACATACTCAGGAATGTCCACTGTGTGCAAGGAATTCTTCATTGTAAGGCGAGGGCCAACAGGACAAGTCCACGGAACTGGAGAGTGCTGGGTGAGCTGGCGGTAAGCTGATTGACATGGAGGTGTTGGTAATGGCAGTAGTGACTTCGAAATTTATAGGCCTGGTTTTGATAAATTAGAAATAATCTTAAAATTTAAACTACTGCATTGCTAAGAGCCGTGGTATTGGATTATAGCATCTTATTATCAGAAAAGGAGCAGACTGATTTTGTTCGGTTGGGACGTTTTCAGTGGTTAGATTAGAGCAAGATGGATGTTTTGTATTGTCCAGGGCAGCTGTGCCCCCAAGTGGCCATGGGCCGGCTCTGAGCTGCTGTAGCTCTTCAGGACTCTGCTGCTCGTGAGGCCCTCGATATGCACCAAAAAGCGCTGGTCACTGCTCTCTGGAGGCCCGGTGAGTCACACAGGTGGGCCGCTTACCCACGTTTTGCTTTGCTTTCCTTTTATGGTCTTGTGTTGAGCCCAAATTGGGGTTTATTTCATTTGGATTCTGGTCCTTGGCCTCTAGGCCACCTATAGCAAACTCAGTACAGTGACATGCTCACAGTCCACATTTCTGTAATCCTATGTTTCTTAAGGTTAGTCGGGGATTCCAAAATAGAAAACAGTATTGACAGCAGGTATTGAGATCATCTACCTCAGACTTTATGACCACCCTAGAGGCTTAGCAACTCAACAAGTTTGTAATAATCACCTTTTTATTATAAAGTAATAAAACCACATTCCCAAAAGGAGAGCTGACTCTTGAATCAGAAGAAGGCTAACTTTGGAACCTGCCTGCTGGCCTGACTGTTGCCGCCCCCCTGCGGTGGCTGCACTGGATGCAACCTCTTAGACATCCAGTCCCTTCTGGGGGGGTTGTGGCTGGCTTAATGGCTTGCTTCTGGGGCCAAGACCCCTGGAATCCTGGCACACGGCGCTTCCCTGGGTACGCAACCCTGGGGTGGATGAGGAGGAGGTCTGCACATGCTTGGAAGAGGAAGACTGAGGCGTGAGCAGTTCTCCCCTTGGAATTGGCCCTGGCTCATCCCGGCCTCCCTGGGTCACACCCTCGCAGTTCACCCTCCTGGACGCTCTTGTGGTGGCCCAAGAAGCCTATGTTCCCCAGAAGTGCTGCCAGAAACACCTGTGAAATGCAACTCATTTTGTGTCTTGAATTTTGAGACAGAGTCTCTCTAGATTGTCCAGGCTGACCTCAAACTCAGTCCTCCTGCCTTGGCCTCCTGTCACTGGGATCACATTGGCCTTAAATTAGTGTTGTATTATTTTCTTAAGGTGGATTCCAGAAACTGATCTGATAAACCAGAGTGTAGACACTATTATTTCCTGCTGGATTTTTAAACCACTTTGAACAAGGTCATTATTTTGCCTCTGTATATTTCCCTGTCACCTAGACGTCTGCCCTCATGCCTAGTACAGATGCCCGTGCTCCAGAGGAGGCAAACCTCTGCCAAGGACAGGTTCCTGCCCTAGTGACTCCCCAGGCACTGAGAGCCTCAGCATTTTTTTTTTGGGGGGGGGGGGGGGGCAAGGCAGGTACCAGGGACTGAACTCAGGGGCGCTCAACCACTGAGCCACATCCCCAGCCCTATCTGGTATTTTATTTAGAGACAGGGTCTCACTGAGTTGCTTAGTGCCTTGCCATTGCCAGGGCTGGCTTTGAACTCTCGATCCTCCTGTCTCAGCCTCCCGAGCGCTGGGATCCTAGGTGTGCGCCACTGCGCTCGGCCAGCCTCAGCTTTTCTGATCCTGCTTCAAGCCTTGTGTTTGTATACTTTGTTCTGCTGCTGGTCCCCGCTCGGTTCTGAAGCCAGGCGAGGTTCACTGGGTCACAGCACCCCTGGCAGAATCTGACCTGGCAGGTGCTGTGCACACAGGAAGCAGGAAAGGTTTGTGAAGTGAGTTCAGCACCAAAAAGCTGGTTACCCCAGAGAAATTGTAGAGACTGACTGGTTCTGTTGGAGCTTTCTCTAAGGGCTGGATGGGGAACATCCCTGGCTCTGGGGGCCCTCACAGTCTCAGCTACCTAGTCTTTTCACAACCTTTTAAGAGTGTGAAGACCATCCTTAGCTTCTAAGACAGGGCAGTGGACGAGGCTTGTCTTTGAGGCTAGTGTGTCAACCCCACTAGTAAAGGGGTTGCTGTGGATCATTTAGGGAAAGGGCTGATGGAGGGTGAGGCCGACCAGCAGGCTCTTCCCGTGCTCAGCGCCTCCTGTTACCAGCCTTTTCTCCCCCACCGTCTCCTCTCCCCCTCCCCCTTATTCTAGAAGGAATTAGAAACACTGTGGCATAAAAAGTTAGCAGCTAAAGCACAGCAGTTGTCGCCCTTCAGGGCCTGTAAGAAACTTCAAGTGGAAGTTCCTTCCGGGTCACGAGAGAAGTGTCAACACCTGGGGCCGGGGGCAGGAGGGGGGACCTCTCTGGTCATCCCTGCAACTTTTTAGGTACACCCCACTTGAGGTGGTTGTGGTTTGGGGGCTGAGTTCCCAGGAAGGCAACGTGGCGGGTTCCAGGCCTCAGAAGCACCAGGATACATTTAGTTTAAAAAATGACAAGTTTGAAAAGAGTGCTCAGACCAAGTGTTCAATGTCCACAGCACACGGTGAAGGATTCCTGCCACAGGATGCATAGATCACGGGCCTCGGATCTATGCAAAGTTTGAGCAAAATGTGGAAAGAAAGAAGACATTGTTATTCCATTTAATGAAGATCCAGAAAAGACAGGAAATTTTGAAAATAATGCAGGTTACAACCATATAAGACACTGCAAAAGCTAAAGTTAAAGAATAGGGAATTTTGACCAACTTTTGCCTTTGAGGGGCTCACAAAAAAATATTGTGACATCCTAATGAAATCAGAAGAAACTATAGAAAAATATGTAAAATATATACATGAACAATATAAATTGTTTAAAATGTTTGGATAATTATCAAACTTTCATCCAGAGTTTCCTTAGAACAAATTTTTTAGGTTGCATATACTAGAATAATATCTGCCAAAACACATATTGAAGTATCCTGTTACAGTTTGTGAGAATTATTTAAAAGAATGTTTTACCTAAATACATAAATGTATTTGTTATCAAAGTAAGCAAGACTCAGAATTGGTGATCACATAAGAACTCCCATGTAAAAATAAGATGATATTATTGTAACTAGTATTAAAAATCAGTAAACTACCCTCCTGGCAAAAGTCCCTTACTTATATTTGCTTATTACAAAGCAATAATGGTTTATTCTTTTATAATCATGTATACCAATTTTCTTTCCAAAGTATTTTTATAGACCTCTTCACACTGTTGTACCTTTTCCTCTTATGAAATATACATCCATAAAAATGCATGGATTTTTTAAAAATTTTTATTCTAATTTGTTATATATGACAGCAGAATGCAAAAATGCATGGAATTTCTCTGACAGTTTGCCAAATAATTATGAGAGTTTTTATACTTACACTGGGATGCAGAAACTACTGGGACAGGAAGCTCTCCCTCATCACAACTTCATCCTTCTTCCCAGAGTTGGCACTAACCTGAATTTTTTTTTTTTTTTTGTACCAGAGATTGAACTCAGAGGCACTTGAACACTGAGTCACGTCCCCAGCCCTATTTTGTATTTTATTATAGACAGGGTCTCAATGAGTTGCTTAGCACCTCACTAAATTCCTGAGGCTGGCTTTGAACTTGAAATCCTCCTGCCTCCACCTCCCAAGCCACTGGAATTACAGGCATGCGCCACTGCACCCAGCTCTAATCTGAATTTTAATAATTATTCACTTTATCATTTTCTACTCCTAAACACTATAAATTCACTTTGTCTGATTTTTAAACTTTCCTATATTTTTATTTTGAAACATCTCAAACCCACAGAAAGGTAACAAAGTAGTATAACGAACCTTTGTATAGTCTTCACCTAGATTCCAAATGTTAACATCTTACCATGTTTTCTTTATAGCTCCATAAGTGGGTGTATATTTATTTTTAATTTGCAGAACCACTTGAAAATAAGTGCTTTTGATTTTGAACTTTATATGAACAGACTTGCACTATGCATATTATTTTTATCTTTTTTTCATTTTTTATAAAATTTGGGAGATTGATTCATGTTGTTACAAAGTTATAATTTGTTCATTTTATATTATTTTATGAATTACATAGTGTAGTTTCTTTATCCTTTTTATGTTAAGACATTTGAGTTAACTCACATTTTTCCTATTGTAAGCAATATTGGTATAAGCACTGTTATATGTGTCTCTTGATATATATATGCATTTCTGTTACTATATATCAGTGTAGAAGAAATCAAGTGTATGAATGCTCAGTTTTACTATATAGCATGAAACTTTTTCCAGAGGTACAGTTATTCTCCCTTCTCTCAGCAACATATTACTGTTTCTGTGCTCTGCATCCTTTCTGATGCTTAGTATCAAAAATTTAAATTTATGCCAATTTCATATGTATATAATAATATCTCCTTGTATATATTATATACATATGAAATTGGCATAAATTAGTATTTCCCAAATTACTAACCCTGATCCCCTTTTTATGTTTATTAGTGATTTTTTGGGTAATAGTACTAAGAAATAACTTTGTTAAGTGTAATAATGTCATTTTAAAGAGGTATATGAACTACGTAAGAGTGCAACTGGGGAGGAGGGCAGGGAGGCACGGCACTTCCCTGTCACCTGGGCTCCCAGGACAGTGGCCTCCAGAAAGCTCCAAGGGCGCCAGAGTAGCTTCCTGGGCCAGTACTCTGTCCCATGGTGCCAGAGGACCAACACTTGGGGGGAAAAGTCGCACTTCACGAGTTTGTACTTGCTGGTCTTTTTTCCCCCGGCTCTGAGGTCAGGAAATC